TTTAGTTTCTTTAAAACGCTTTGTTTGCTTTATCAAAAGAGATCTCAGATGGATTCGTGCCTTCGCCAATGCCATATATGCCCCAAATTGTGCTCGATATTACGGGGGAATTGTAGCTAGTTTCACATCCATTTCTTTGTTTTGCTTTTGATGCAGGATTAGACCGAAAGGGACTCAAAGAAAAATTATGGTAAAAACGGAATAATAATTGAAAGTGAAAAAGAACAGTGTTTAAACAGAAGATGTCCCTTTCGAGGAAAGGAATAGGGAGACTTATCTGGAGGTATGTGCCGACTTCAATGAATCATGACATGCATTTTGGACTGGACGCCTGATCCGTCTAAGCTGTCTAATTCTCAAAATCCGCCGCAAACGTTCATCTTGAATTTGTCTTGGTTGTGCTCATGCCGGAGAATCAAAGACCCTCATTCGGCTAGTAGCGCCTTTTGCAGGTTTTCGCTAACTAACCTCTCTCATTTCTCTACTAACCGTCGCCTTATGGTGCCCATATGGGTTTTCACCAATAAGACTCTCTCATTTCTCTGCTCACTGTCGCCTTATAGTGCCCGTACGGGTTTTCACTAATAAGACTCTCTCATTTCTTTTTCTCTTTTTTTTTTTTTTTCTTTTTCTTCTTCTTTTTGTTTGAATAAGATACTGCAGGAGGGAGGTTAACCAACGCCTTTGGCATGGGGACTTCAAACATTCTCAAAAAAAAAAACATCGATCAGAAGTTCTTGAAAGGTAAAAAGGCGAAATGAACCTTGAACTGAATTACAACTTTTGGAACCGTTTTACAGAAAAACCGTGAAATAAAACAAACTTCTGCCCCAGTTTTGGAGTATTGGGAATATGGATTTTTTGTTCTGATGGGACCGAACCCAGGGTAAGGCTGCCTACGTATCCTTTCGGAATCAGGTCGGACGTAGTTCAATGACTCAGAGATTTGTTGTTTTGGCTTTTTTACAAGTACACATATTCTAAAAAGTGAGAAACAAGGAAGACAAATACTGCCCAAAAAGGATTAACAAAAAGGGTGACACCTATTTGGAATAGCTAGCAAATGATAGCCTTCGTCACTTCGATTTGAGAAAATAAATGCGTGAAAATTCTATAGTGGGTATATATCAGACATAATATGTTTTGATTGCATCTGCATTAATAGTCATGCCTGGTACCCGTCCTTCTTCATCTACCAAGTGCAAGGCCCCTTTGGTAACACTTTCTTGATGATGTAAGGTCCTTGCCAGTTCGGGGCGAACTTTCCTTTAGCTTCTACCTGGTGCGGAAGGATGCGTTTCAAAACCAGCTGGCCTACCTCAAATCGCCTTGGGCGCACTTTCTTACTGTAAGCGCGTGCCATTCTTTGCTGATATAACTGGCCGAAACACACTGCTGCTAGCCGTTTTTCATCGATCAACATCAGTTGTTCTAATCGGGTCTTGACCCACTCAGTGTCTTCAATCTCTGATTCCACAATAATTCAGATAGAGGGAATTTCGACTTCAGCGGGTATTACAACTTCAGTTCCATATACAAGCAGATACGGAGTTGCACCAACAGATGTGCGAACAGTCGTGCGGTATCCCAAAAGAGCAAAAGGCAGCTTTTCATGCCATTGCCTGGAACCTTGGATCATTTTCCTAAGAATCTTCTTGATGTTCTTGTTTGCCGCTTCAACGGCTCCATTAGCTTTTGGCCGGTAAGGGGTAGCATGATGATGCATGATTTTAAATTGTTCGCATACCTCCTTCATCAAATGACTATTTAGATTGGCTGCATTGTCAGTGATAATGGTCTTTGGGATACCAAAGCGACAGATGATGTTTGAATGAACAAAATCTACCACTGCTTTCTTGGTGACTGCTTTAAAAGTGACGGCCTCCACCCACTTGGTGAAGTAATCAATTGCAACCAAAATGAATCTATGCCCATTTGAAGCCTTTGGCTCGATTGGACCAATAACATCCATTCCCCAAGCAACAAAAGGCCAAGGAGAGGACATGGGATGCAACTCTGAAGGAGGCGAGTGAATCAAATCACCATGAATCTGGCATTGGTGACACTTGCGAACAAAACTAAAGCAATCTCGCTCCATAGTAAGCCAATAATACCCCGCCCGCAGAATCTTCTTCGCCAAAATATATCCATTCATGTGAGGTCCGCACACCCCTGAATGCACTTCACCCATGATCTGCTCTGCTTCTGTAGCATCTATGCATCTCAACAAGTTTAAATCTGGGGTCCTTTTGTACAGAATTTCCCCATTCAGGAAGAAACCACTGGCGAGCCGCCTTAAAGTTCTTTTTTGATCTCCTTTGGCATGCTCTGGATATTCTCTCATTTTCAGGAATCGTTTTATGTCATGATACCATGGTTCACCATCTGGTGCTGTCTCAATTGTATTGCAGTAACCGTATTGATTTCGAACTTGGATTTCTAGCGGATCAATATGAGCGTTGCCTGGATAAGGGATCATCGAGGCTAAAGTAGCCAAGGCATCGGCTAGCTCGTTGTGAAACCTAGGAATGTACCTGAACTCGATGGATTTGAATCTTTTGCTCAAGTCTTGCATGCATTGTCTGTACGGAATAAGCTTGATGTCTCGAGTCTCCCATTCGCCTTGAGCTTGCCGGATAAGCAAGTCAGAATCTCCCATAACCAATAGTTCATGCACATCCAGATCGATGGCCATTTTCAAACCCATGATACAAGCTTCGTATTCTGCCGTATTATTGGTACAGAAGAATCGAAGTCGGGCCGTTGCAGGGTAATGATGTCCAATAGGTGAGATGAGGATTGCCCCGATCCCAACTCCTTTGATATTGACAGCTCCATCAAAATACATTTTCCATACAGGGTGATCGTCTGGAACCACTTCTCCTATTGAGTTGACCTCTTCGTCTGGGAAGTATGTGCTAAGTGGCATGTACTCATTATCAACTGGATTCTCTGCCAAATGATCTGCCAAAGCCTGTGCTTTCATCGCGGTGCGAGTGACATAGACGATGTCAAACTCTGTGAGCAAGATTTGCCATTTTGCGAGCCTGCCAGTGGGCATTGGCTTTTGGAAGATGTACTTCAAAGGATCCATTCTGGATATGAGGTGAGTAGTGTAGGCCAAAAGATAATGTCTCAGCTTGTGAGCGACCCAAGTCAAGGCACAACATGTTCTTTCTAAAAGGGTGTACTTAACCTCATAATTGGTGAACTTCTTGCTCAAATAATAGATTGCCTGTTCCTTTTTGCCTGTTGCATCATGTTGCCCCAGAACGCATCCAAAGGAATTATCCATCACCGATAGATATAAAAACAAAGGCCTACCAGGTTCAGGCGGGACCAATACAGGGGGTTTTGACAAATAATCTTTGATCCTGTCAAAAGCTTTTTGGCAATCGTCTGTCCACCTGATAGCGGCATCCTTTTTCAGCAACTTAAAGATGGGCTCGCACGTGGTTGTGAGCTGAGCAATGAACCTACTGATGTAGTTCAGCCTCCCGAGCAAACTCATGACTTCCTTTTTGTTCTTCGGGGGTGGCAGATCTCGAATGGACTTTATCTTAGATGGATCCAATTCGATGCCTCTCCGGCTGACTATAAAACCGAGGAGTTTCCCAGACGGAACCCCAAATGCACACTTGGCTGGATTAAGCTTAAGGTCATACCTTCGAAGCCGTTCGAAGAACTTTTTCAAATCACACACGTGATCAGCTTGTGTCTTTGATTTTATGATAACATCATCGACATATACTTCAATCTTTTTGTGCATCATGTCTTGAAAAATAGTAGTCATGGCCCTCATGTAGGTTGCCCCTAAATTCTTTAAACCGAATGGCATGACCCTGTAACAATAAGTACCCCATGGCGTGGTGAACGCGGTCTTTTCTGCATCATCCTCATCCATTAGAATTTGGTGGTACCCAGCATAGCAATCCACGACGATTGTATCTCATGTTTGGCGTCATTATCTACAAGAATGTGGATATTTGGCAAAGGAAATTAT